GCCTCGTTTCAATCTCACTCTCCAGTTCACCTCCAATTGCCTCGTTTGAGGCTACTTCCGTGCTTGATTGGTGGTTGAGGCACTCTGAGACGCTGGACAATGATTGGAAGATATCTGACTTCGACGGGTGATTTGATCTAGCTTAAAACTGATTGACATGTTAATCAGTAGTTAAGATTGATTGGCACTGGTAGTTACGTTACTCCCCCCCCCCCCCCCAGAGCCTCGTGACCTGAGGTGGTGCCACGGGTTGACCTCTGAGAGTGCCAGGAGTGCCTACACCAGGAGGGTGACACTGTCACTCAAGGTGACAGGTTCTGGTGTCACTATCTGTCTTAAAACGGTGCCAGCGGTGTGCCTCTGGGTTCATGATCATGTCTCGTTCATTCCTCGTGGATTCCCTCATCTCCCCGCGGGCGTCGGAAACCAGTGGGCGTGGGCACCGCTCCTACAGCCCGCCTGGGGGCACGCCCATGCCCGCCCTCCTACCTCTCCACCCATGCCCTCCGGGTAAACATAGCGATGTCATATCGCTATACTCCTGTCGTTCCTGCGTGCCCATCCCGCCCGCGTTGAAGCAAGCCATGGCGCCCACATTCTCCAGCTTCACGCCCACGCTGGGGTCAAGCTTTACCCACACGCCCGCAAGCCTCCCGCCCACGCCCATCCTGCGGCCGGTACCCGTGTCTTTGCCAATGACTATGTCGCATATCTACAGCCCTCTCTATGTCCCGGCCGCCCACGCCCGCCCACAGCTCAACACGCCCATCCCGCCAGAGAAGAAGTCTCCAGTTCAAGGTGAGAACTTCCTATTGGTAATGTTTCATATCAAGTGATTCAGTTACGTCCTAACTGCTAATCTCTAACATTAAACATGTGAAATTACCATCACTAACTACCCTTGACACCAATAACACCTGTGCATGTTGCAAGCATATATATACACGCTTACATAGAGCCATATAGGCCTAGGTAAATACATATAAGAGCCTTGCAATAGGCCTAGATCTTGCCCCCGCTACGAAACAGAGTCTGTTCAAACAACTTTGATGGATTTCAAGTCATTCTTGAAGTTCTTCAAGGTGTTCAGTCTATAACTTTAGGTCATTTTATACTCTTAAATGTTTGTTATGTGAATAGATTGTTAGGCTAATTGTCAGGTAGTTGGATAATTACCAATAGGCTGTTTTTTTATGATTTCATCCACTTACAACCTGCACTTAGACACTTAGATCGTCACTATTGACACTTTTTTCTCACTTTACGTTTATCTTCAAGGTTAATTAAACGTTTAAGCTCCACGTTTAAACGTTCCTTCCTGGATTAAAAGCTTACTCTCAAGCTGAGACGTTTATTCTTAAACGTTCATTTCCCCGACTAGCTTAAACGTTTATTTTCAAGCTTAGACGTTCATTCTCTAGTTTAAACGTTCAATCTCCAGCCTAAACGTTCACCTCAAAGCTTAAACGTTTAATGTCAATTTTAAATGTTACTTTCGAGCCTAAACGTTTTTGTCCAATTCTTCAACTTTACGCTAAAGTTTTAATGTTGACTCACTTATGTATGTGGTGAAGAGTAGTGGTGATTGGACAGAACCCGGGGCGCTGTCTCTTCTGTCTCCTTGGCTGTCTGTGGCTCCTGTCTCCTTGGCTGTCTGTCTCCTTGGCTGTATGTCTCCTGTGTCCTTGGCTGTCTGTGGCTCCTGTCCCCTTGGCTGTCTGTGTCTCCTGTCTCCTTGGCTGTCTGTGGCTCCTGTCTCTTTGTTTCTGTCTGTCTCCTTGGCTGTCTGTGGCTCCTGTGTCCTTGGCTGTCTGTGTCTCCTGTCTCTTTGTTTCTGTCCTGTCTTCTTGTATATGTCTCCTGTCTCTTTGTTTCTGTCCTGTCTTCTTGTATATGTCTCCTGTCTCCTAGGCTGTCTGTGTCTCCTGTCTTCTTGGCTGTCTGTGTCTCCTGTGTCCTTGGCTGTCTGTGTCTTCTGTCTCCTTGGCTGTCTGTGTCTCCTGTCTCCTTGGCTGTCTGTGTCTTCTGTGTCCTTGGCTGTCTGTGTCCAGTCTCCTTAGCTGTCTATGTCTCCTGTCTCCTTGGCTGTCTATGTCTCCTGTCTCTTCGTCTGTGTCCCACACACAAGTCCCTTGTCACGTACTCTGATATGCCACTTAGACTTCTTTCCCCCTTGTTCCGTTCCACGTGTCCCCAGTGATCACAGTCTGTTGTTCAGCAATTCTCGTTTCGCCCTGGACCGTTCCGGGTCGTTCCTTTAGTTCAATAATTTTCTTTGTGTCATTCCAGGTGTTCAGAGGATTTGTTTTCCATTCTTGTGTTATTTTAGGAAAGTTCAGATGCTTATATAGTCACACGAGAGCCCAAACACACACACACATATATATATATACACACATATATACACACACATACACACACATACAAATATATAGTGTCAGAGTGGTTGGCAAATGGAATGCATTAGGAAGTGATGTGGTGGAGGCTGACTCCATACACAGTTTCAAGTGTAGATATGATAGAGCCCAGTAGGCTCAGGAACCTGTACACCTGTTGATTGACGGTTGAGAGGCGGGACCAAAGAGCCAGAGCTCAACCCCCGCAAGCTTAATTAGGTGAGTACACACACACACACACACACACACACACACACACACACACACACACACACACACACACACACACACACACACACACACACACACACACACACACACACACCTTGAAAAACTATTCATAGTCTGTAGTTCTAAATGAATAAACTATGAATATAGTTTAGGCTACTATCTCCCCCCCCCACACACACCTTAGGTCTAACAAGTACCCTTCCCTACAAAGCATCGCCATAACAGTAACCTAACTACTGCTAGGTGAACAGGCGCATGAGGTGAAAAGAAACGAGCCCAAGCACCCAGCTAGCCCTCAGTTTCCGGAGATTGAACCCGGGATACCCGAGTGTGAGTTAACAATGTAGTTACCGAACTGCAAACATCACCCAAAAAGGCCTTTAAGGTTCATATTCCTATACAAACAAACCAATTTCAGAGTAAGACTTTCGGTGGTTATAATAGGAGCTGCCTCGTATGGGCCAATAGGCCTGCTGCAGTTCTCATTACTACTATCCCCTACACCTGACTTTCCTCCTCAGCTCTCTCTTGCCTATTTAATTCCTGTCCCTACCTGTCCTCATCACAATCGACTTGAGAATGGTCCAGGACGGACCGAAACGTCGTCGTCTCTTCAACTTCTAGTGTGTGGTCTGGTCAACAGTGTTCATTGAACTGTTACTCGAATTAATTTTGTTTGGCATCTATCAAAGTGTTTATAAAAGCAATTGTTTTTCTTTTTCTGATTTATTCAAATTGTCATTTTTAAGTATAATTATTTATTATTTTTGGTGCTATTTCTTATAATGATAGATAATATCTATTAGTAATACTTATTATCTATCAATCAACCACTGTCATATTAACTATGATCTTCAAAGTAATTCAAATATATTAATTTATTTTATGAATGAAATATACAAAATAATTTATATAGGCAATGAAAATAGTATTTATTATATCAAATATAAATATATATAATAATAAGTATTATATATTTTTTATTTGCTATTAAAATACAATTTTATTTGTTTATTTAAAATAATTTAATATATGTTAATTACTTTGTTTAATATATATATATATATATATATATTATATATATATATATATATATATATATATATATATATATATATATATATATATATATATATATATATATATATATATATATATATATATATATATATGATTCAAAAAGACCTATCTGGGTCTAAACACCAATTAAAAATAGGCTTTTCAATACAAAATAGGCCTATAAATAAAAAAAGTAGGCCTAAAGATATAAACTAGATCTATATAGATTTATAGCAAATTAATCTCTGCAGTATTTTAGTTTATAAATGAGATATGGCCATTTTCTTGGTCCGAGCTCTGATGTCAAAAATTAGTAATGCAAATTAGATCATTATATCTTTATATTCTAATGTTTTACGGCAATATAATGATTCGTTATAAATTGGTAACACCTCTTTATCTCAACCTAACTGCTCGTTACAAAGGGGCTAGTAGTTATAAGTCGTTTTATGATTTTTAAACTTAAAAATTTAATTTAAAACTTATAACGGTTTTAGCGTTTCACGTTTCACATTTAAAACTTTTTTGTTTTCACAAGTTTTAAAGAGAAATATAAACCTTTCGTGTATTCAGCGTTTTAAACAGTTGAAAAGATTAAATCAAATTGGTAAAAAATTAATAAATTGAACTTAATTGAAATTAAATTTTAATAGCCTCTTTAAAAAAAGGAATTTTTTTCCCCACACAATGGACAACATATTAAGATAAAATCTTAATTGCCTTTTGTTTTTACCTGAATTTACCTGAGGGGCCACTATCTCTTTCTAATGGCGACAAGGACAGGAATTTAGCGGCTTGTCATTTTTTTTTTTAGTTTTTAGTAATAGCTCAATTATTAACTTGGAATATATTATCATTAGATTTTAAATTTGCTAATTTCTTTGTGAAGAAGTTTATATATAAACTATAAATTGCTATATTGGTTTAAATTTATATTCAGGATATATGATGTTTATTCTCCCCATAGCAATATATATGTCTCGGCTCAGAGATGCCCCAATATAGTCATGTTTCGACCAAGGAGCTGGGATATGAGGACAAGGAGCTGGGATATGAGGACAAGGAGCTGGGATATGAGGACAAGGAGCTGGGGTATGAGGACAAGGAGCTGGGGTATGAGGACAAGGAGCTGGGATATGAGGACAAGGAGCTGGGATATGAGGACAAGGAGCTGGGATATGAGGATAAGGAGCTGGGGTTTGAGGACAAGGAGCTGGGATATGAGGACAAGGATCTGCGATATGAGGATAAGGAGCTGGGGTTTGAGGACAAGGAGCTGGGGTATGAGGACAAGGATCTGCGATATGAGGATAAGGAGCTGGGGTTTGAGGACAAGGAGCTGGGATATTAGGACAAGGAGCTGGGATATGAGGACAAGGAGCTGGGATATGAGGACAAGGAGCTGGGATATGAGGACAAGGAGCTGGGATATGAGGACAAGGAGCTGGGATATGAGGACAAGGAGCTGGGATATGAGGACAAGGAGCTGGTATATGAGGACAAGGAGCTGGAATATGAGGACAAGGAGCTGGGATATTAGGACAAGGAGCTGGGATATGAGGACAAGGAGCTGGGATATGAGGACAAGGAGCTGGGATATGAGGACAAGGACCTGGGATATGAGGACAAGGAGCTGGGATATGAGGACAAGGAGCTGGGATATGAGGACAAGGAGCTGGGATATGAGGACAAGGAGCTGGGATATGAGGAGATTAAGGCGCTGGAATATATGAATGGAGAATAGGAATGCTGTCCAACTATTTGAAGCATTGGGGATCGAACGCCGACCATGCAAGGCACAAGACTGCTACTGTACCAACCAATCGAAGTTGATGCTGGAATATACAGCTCCAGCGTCAGTCCCAAACATTCTCAAGAATAGAAGAAAAACACCAAGAATGTTCAGAAATCTGTCACTAGTCTAGTTTATGACACGGACATGTTTACGACATAAAAGATACTTAGAGGAGTCCATAGGGAAGATATAGGTATCCCTAGAACAGGAAGACTTTAAGTTGAAGCCTAACGTGGAAATGTATCTGTCTCTGTCTCTCTCTCTCTCTCTCTCTCTCTCTCTCTCTCTCTCTCTCTCTCTCTCTCTCTCTCTCTCTCTCTCTCTCTCTCTCTCTCTCTCTCTCTCTCTCTCTCTCTCTCTCTCTCTCTCTCTGAAGACAGACAGACACGCAACATCCTCAAAATGACAAAGATAAACCGCCAATATCCGTAATAATAATAATTATGAAAAAAAAGAATGAAGAATGCGCCGATTTGGATCAAAATCCGGATCTCGGTTGGCGATGAGTGTTCGGTACCAGGAGACTACTAAAACCGGTTTATTTATATCCGGCCGGCCGGTTAGTATCCGTACCAGTCCTCCTCCTTCGTCTCCTCTCTTCTTCTCTCCTCCTATCCCTCTTCCTCTTCCTCCTCCTGAACAGGACCGGCTCCAAAAGGCTCGTTAGAATAGGACAGGTGAATGGGGCGCTGTAATTAGACCCGGATAATATATATTTTTTTTGTATCTGTGGGACGAGGAGGTAAATAGGATTTTATGTATATATTTCACACAAGAGATTACACATTTTTACAGCTGTTTTGAGGCTGTTTTAAATTGTTTGGCTCGTTTGGGCTTTTTTTTGGGGGGGGGGGGGGTCAGCTGAGAAGGAAAGTGAATGATTAAAGGGGGGATAAAATATTGGAAGTCATTGTAAAGCTGAGATAGATGTGGGATATGAGCTGGGATATGAGGACAAGGAGCTGGGATATGAGGACAAGGAGCTGGGATATGAGAACAAGGAGCTGGGATGTTAGGACAAGGAGCTGGGATATGGATACAAGGAACTGGGATATGAGGACAAGGAGCTGGGATATGAGAACAAGGAACTGGGATATGAGAACAAGGAGCTGGGATATGAGAACAAGGAGCTGGGATGTGAGGACAAGGAGCTGGGATATGGATACAAGGAACTGGGATATGAGGACAAGGAGCTGGGATGTGGATACAAGGAGCTGGGATATGGATACAAGGAACTAGGATCCTGGAAACTGAATTTGCATTTCGCTTCCCAACTTCAGATAAGTAGACGCTAATGAGTTGCAAATTAGCATCAAAAGGACTTCCGATAACCTGATAATTTTAGCACATTTTAACCCCCCCCCCCCTCTTCGGATAGATTAATCACGATCCTCTTCAGATATGTAAAGATATCTAACCTAACCAGAAACCCCAAGCCACCTACCCTAACCTAACCTACCGAGGCGATGACAAAGAAAACGTGGATATTTCTGAGCCGCTGCTGTCCATAGTACTTTGTAATCTGTACGATGAAGGGGGGGGGGGGGCGTAGGGAGCCGGTCGGCTGAGCGGACAGCACGCTGTACTTGTGATCCTGTGGTCCTGGGTCCGATCCCAGGCGCCGGCGAGAAACAATGGGCAGAGTTTCTTTCACCCTATGCCCCTGTTACCTAGCAGTAAAATAGGTACCTGGGTGTTAGTCAGCTGTTACGGGCTGCTTCCTGGGGGTGGAGGCCTGGTCGAGGACCGGGCCGCGGGGACACTAAAGCCCCGAAATCATCATCTCAAGATAGCGAACAAAATTGAGACGCATTAGTGAAGATTGGTGGTTGTCTCTGCCTTATAGAGTAGTCGCCTCCGGTTTGTGGCTGGTGTGAGGCGTCGTCAAGATGTGATCCCCTTATACTGGCATACTTCCCCCTTGTCTTACCTCTGAGCACTGATAACTTAGCATATCCTTAACTAAACCATAGGGCTAGAAACATTAACAAAATATAACACAAACTAACACAATATAACATAAAATAAAAAAATAGCATAAACCCCCCAAAATAACACACATTAACCAAATATAACAATTAACAATACACAAATGTCTCAATGTTAAATATATTTAACTCCAACACACTCAGATGGCAACACTGGGACTATAGAGTGTTGCCAAACACACATTCTCACATTTTTGGAGAATAATAATAGAGATATTGATAAGATTGTATTAGGAATGTAAGTGTATTATATATATGTATTTTTGGAGGGTTGTTAGGGGTTAGTATAGTTGTATATTATGTAATTTATGACTTCGCTACCTGTCATGTCTTGGCTAAACTGGTTTTAAGATGGGTTCAGATGCTCAAAAAGAGGTTTGGGATTGATGTCTCTTGCTTGAGATGTCAGGGTTTTTGGATATCGTGTTTTTATTGGTTTTATATGTGTTTTTATATGAATTTTGAATTGTTTTTAATATTTATCTGTATGTCTGGCTCTGTCTGTCTGTCTCTCTCTCTCTCTCTCTGTCTCTTTCTTTGTCTCTGTCTGTCTGTCTCTCTCTCTCTCTCTCTCTCTCTCTCTCTCTCTCTCTCTCTCTCTCTCTCTCTCTCTCTCTCTCTCTCTCTCTCTCTCTCTCTCTCTCTCTCTCTCTCTCTCTGTCTCTCTGTCTCTGTCTCTCTCTCTCTCTCTCTCTCTCTCTCTCTCTGTCTCTGTCTCTCTCTCTCTCTCTCTCTCTCTCTCTCTCTCTCTCTCTCTCTCTCTCTCTCTCTCTCTCTCTCTCTCTCTCTCTCTCTCTCTCTCTCTCTCTCTCTCTCTCAGTCTCTCACTCTAACTATATTCCCTCCACTAAACCACTAACCATTCTCTCCCTCCACCACAAAGTATTCCCACACCTCTCCAGTACCCCTCCCCCCCCACCACTAACCACTAACCACCTACTCCCCCGCCCCCCCCCCTCCTCCAGGAATTACGAGGCCCCGCTCGGAGTCCCCAACGGAGGACGTCCCCTCCTGTAAGCGGATCAGGACGGCCTTCACGTCCACACAGCTGCTGGAGTTAGAGAGAGAGTTCTCCGCCAACATGTACCTGAGTCGCCTCCGACGGATAGAGATTGCTACGTATCTCAACTTATCTGAGAAACAGGTAGGTATTAGTTCGAGGTTCGAAACCAGACGCTTGGGGTCAGCCTCTCGCGATTTCTCATCGTGGTTACTGTCGGGTATGTGCCCAACAGGGTCGGATTAAAATCAATCCATTGGCAATGGTTCGAGGTTCGAAACCAGACGCTTGGGGTCAGCCTCTCGCGATTTCTCATCGTGGTTACTGTCGGGTATGTGCCCAACACGGTCGGATTAAAATCAATCCATTGACAATGTGTTTGCTATATGCAACTATGTGAACGTTTTGGCAATTCATACATCGGCTGGATCTTTAAAATATTCTAAAATTACAAATCAAAACAAGTAATTTTTTCTTGAATTACAGTAAAATAGTAAGCACCGATGTCCCCAAAATTGTCAAAAAAATATATCTATCATGTTTTAGCTGTAAGACGTAAAAATTTGTTCTATAAATGAGAGAATAATCAGTCATTAAGCCCAATTATCTCCAGTCAAGATTATCAAAAGTAAAAGAAAGAGATGCAAAAAATATAATAGAAATATATTATTCACTTTCCTTTCCCATACTTTCTCCTCCTTTTCCTCATACTTTCTCCTCTTCCTCATACTTTCTCCTCCTCTTCCCCATATTTTCTCCTCTTCCTCATACTTTCTCCTCTTCCCCCATACTTTCTCCTCCTCTTCCCCCATACTTTCTCCTCCTCTTCCCCCATACTTTCTCCCCCTATTCCCCCATACTTTCTCCCCCTATTCCCTATACTTTCTCCCCCTATTCCCCCATACTTTCTCCCCCTATTCCCTATACTTTCTCCCCCTATTCCCCCATACTTTCTCCCCCTATTCCCCCATACTTTCTCCCCCTATTCCCCCATACTTTCTCCCCCTATTCCCCCATACTTTCTCCCCCTATTCCCTATACTTTCTCCCCCTATTCCCCCATACTTTCTCCCCCTCTTCCCCCATACTTTCTCCCCCTCTTCCCCCATACTTTCTCCCCTATTCCCTATACTTTCTCCCCCTATTCCCCCATACTTTCTCCCCCTCTTCCCCCATACTTTCTCCCCCTATTCCCTATACTTTCTCCCCCTATTCCCCCTATTCCCTATACTTTCTCCCCCTATTCCCCCATACTTTCTCCCCCTATTCCCCATACTTTCTCCCCCTATTCCCCCATACTTTCTCCCCCTATTCCCTATACTTTCTCCCCCTATTCCCCCATACTTTCTCCCCCTATTCCCTATACTTTCTCCCCCTATTCCCCCATACTTTCTCCCCCTCTTCCCCCATACTTTCTCCCCTATTCCCTATACTTTCTCCCCCTATTCCCCCATACTTTCTCCCCCTATTCCCCCATACTTTCTCCCCCTATTCCCCCATACTTTCTCCCCCTATTCCCCATACTTTCTCCTCTTCCCTATACTTTCTCCTCTTCCCCCATACTTTCTCCTCCTTTTCCCCCATACTTTCTCCTCTGGATTAACGCTTTCTCACAATCGCCACCTTTCCATTTCCAGGTGAAAATCTGGTTCCAGAACCGCCGTGTGAAGTACAAGAAGGAAGAGAGCGGACAGTCCAAGGAGAAGTGCTCGTGTCTAAGGACTTGTTCAGCCTCTAGGACTCGCTCCAAGGACTCCCCTGGCCCTCAGGGGTGCCACGCCAGGCATGACGGTGAAGAGTCCTTGGAGGAGGAGAAGGTCGACGTCGAGGCGATCGATGGAAGTCGATATAAGGTCGATTGTGATGAAAAGGTTTTCTCTGAATTAGGCCAGCATCGTCATCAAGTTCCTGAGCGTGGGCAGGAGGTGCAGGGATATCCTAGGCCGGACGAGGAGCATTGTCGAAAGGCTGTTAGTGTTGACTTTAATCCCTCTGGTGAACACGTGAGGCCCTCTGGTGAACACGTGAGGCCCTCTGCTGAACACATCAGGCCCTCTGCTGAACACATCAGGCCCTCTGGTGAACACATCAGGCCCTCTGCTGAACACATCAGGCCCTCTGGTGAACACATCAGGCCCTCTGCTGAACACATCAGGCCCTCTGGTGAACACATCAGGCCCTCTGCTGAACACATCAGGCCCTCTGCTGAACACATCAGGCCCTCTGGTGAACACATGAGGCCCTCTGGTGAACACATCCGGCCCTCTGGTGAACACATCCGGCCCTCTGGTGAACACATCCGGCCCTCTGCTGAACACATCAGGCCCTCTGCTGAACACATGGCAACCCACAGCTACACATCTGACACAGACTCAGACAAAGACAGTAGTGAAAACATTGATGTCATTTGAGTCTTTGTCAAAATTGATCAGACAGTACACGTATCATCCTCTCCCCCCCCCCCCCCCACGAAACTATTTGAGAATGAACGATAACTTTTGGATTGTTCGTCAAGGTGTTAATATTCTGTTGAACAATTTAGTTTTTTTTTTACAGGATTGGGTGTTTGGTAAGGCAATAGGGAAGCATCTTTACCAGTCAACTCATTCTACCGTCTTGAATCAACTCATTCTACCGTCTTGAATCAAATCATTCTGCTGTCTTGAATCAACTTATTCTGCTGTCTTGAATCAACTTATTCTGCTGTCTTGAATCAAATCATTCTGCTGTCTTGAATCAAATCATTCTACCGTCTTGAATCAACTCATTCTACCGTCTTGAATCAAATCATTCTACCGTCTTGGATCAAATCATTCTACCGTCTTGAATCAAGTCATTCTGCTGTCTTGAATCAACTCATTCTGCCGTCTTGAATCAAATCATTCTACCGTCTTGAATCAAATCATTCTACCGTCTTGAATCAACTCATTCTACCGTCTTGAATCAAATCATTCTGCTGTCTTGAATCAAATCATTCTGCTGTCGCTTCCACGTAGCGAATAATCATACTAGCTTAGTGCTTTCTAATAAGTACCATCAAGTCCAACAGTCCTAAAATATGACAAAAGTCCAAAATTGTCATACAATATGACACAAGTCCAACAGTGTCATGCAATATGACACAAGTCCAACATTGTCATACAATATGACACAAGTCCAACATTGTCATACAATATGACACAAGTCCAACATTGACGAGAGTGCCTCGAAAAATATTGCCTTCGAATTGATGTATATAAAATATATATTTTTCGTAATACAAATATACGCAATGTGTGAGACGTCTTCACCTTAAGTGACTTCTTGACCTTAAGTGTGTATGTTAGAGCTTAGAATGCAAGTTTCCCTCCACTAAAGTCCTTATATTTGCACCAGGGCGACCACAACAGACTGGTGGATCATGTTTAAGATATATAATAGAGGTTATTTAGATGCCTGGTGTGGACCAATAGGAGCTGCCTCGTATGGACCAATAGGAGCTGCCTCGTATGGACCAATAGCAGCTGCCTTGTATGGACCAATAGCAGCTGCCTCGTATGGACCAGTAGGATCTGCCTCGTATGGACCAATAGCAGCTGCCTTGTATGGACCAATAGTAGCTGCCTCGTATGGACCAGTAGGATCTGCCTCGTATGGACCAATAGCAGCTGCCTCGTATGGACCAATAGGAGCTGCCTCGTATGGACCAATAGCAGCTACCTCGTATGGACCAATAGCAGCTGCCTCGTATGGACCAATAGCAGCTGCCTCGTGTGGACCAATAGGAGCTGCCTCGTATGGACCAGTAGGATCTGCCTCGTATGGACCAATAGCAGCTGCCTCGTATGGACCAATAGGAGCTGCCTCGTATGGACCAATAGCAGCTGCCTCGTATGGACCAATAGGAGCTGCCTCGTATGGACCAATAGCAGCTGCCTCGTATGGACCAATAGGAGCTGCCTCGTATGGACCAATAGGAGCTGCCTCGTATGGTCCAATAGGAGCTGCCTCGTATGGACCAATAGCAGCTGCCTCGTATGGACCAATAGCAGCTGCCTCGTATGGACCAATAGCAGCTGCCTCGTATGGACCAATAGCAGCTGCCTCGTATGGTCCAATAGGAGCTGCCTCGTATGGACCAATAGCAGCTACCTCGTATGGACCAATAGCAGCTGCCTCGTATGGACCAATAGCAGCTGCCTCGTATGGACCAATAGCAGCTGCTTCTTATTGACCTAAAAAAAATGATTTGTACATTCTAAATAAATTTTGTCTAGTGGTCTTTCGGTCATGTACTGTGTTCTGTTTGTGTTTTAATAACGCGTACTGTTTTAATACCCGTTTAGTCTTGGACTGTGTTCTGTTTTGATAGCACTTACTGTTGACAACGGGAAACAGGAGCTTAAGGTAAAAAAGTCACAAAGCTTCAAGGGATTTAGTATCTTACGGTAGATAATGAAATAAGTTAAAATGTTGAAAGCCTATTATGTGGGGTTGAATTTCACCTGGTCTTACAGTGCCTTGTGTTTATAGTGCCTGGGGCTCTATACAGTGCCTGGGGCTCTATACAGTGCCTGGAGCTCCATACAGTGCCTGGGGGTTCTATACAGTGCCTAGGGCTCCATACAGTGCCTGGGGGGGTTCTATACAGTGCCTGGGGTTCTATACAGTGCCTGGGGGCTCTATACAGTGCCTGGGGGTTCTATACAGTGCCTGGAGCTCCATACAGTGCCTGGGGGGTTCTATACAGTGCCTGGGGCTCTATACAGTGCCTGGGGCTCCATACAGTGCCTGGGGCTCCATACAGTGCCTGGAGCTCCATACAGTGCCTGGGGGGTTCTATACAGTGCCTGGGGCTCCATACAGTGCCTGGAGCTCCATACAGTGCCTGGGGCTCCATACAGTGCCTGGAGCTCCATACAGTGCCTGGGGCTCCATACAGTGCCTGGAGCTCCATACAGTGCCTGGGGCTCCATACAGTGCCTGGAGCTCCATACAGTGCCTGGGGCTCCATACAGTGCCTGGAGCTCCATACAGTGCCTGGAGCTCCATACAGTGCCTGGAGCTCCATACAGTGCCTGGAGCTCCATACAGTTCCTGGAGCTCCATACAGTGCCTGGGGGGTTCTATACAGTGCCTGGGGCTCCATACAGTGCCTGGGGCTCCATACAGTGCCTGGGGCTCCATACAGTGCCTGGGGCTCCATACAGTGCCTGGAGCTCCATACAGTGCCTGGGGGGTTCTATACAGTGCCTGGGGGGTTCTATACAGTGCCTGGAGCTCCATACAGTGCCTGGGGGGTTCTATACAGTGCCTGGGGGGTTCTATACAGTGCCTGGAGCTCCATACAGTGCCTGCTGCTCCATACAGTGCCTGGGGCTCCATACAGTGCCTGCTGCTCCATACAGTGCCTGCTGCTCCATACAGTGCCTGCTGCTCCATACAGTGCCTGGGGCTCCATACAGTGCCTGCTGCTCCATACAGTGCCTGGGGCTCTATACAGTGCCTGGGGCTCCATACAGTGCCTGGGGCTCCATACAGTGCCTGGGGCTCCATACAGTGCCTGGGGGGCTCTATACAGTGCCTGGAGCTCCATACAGTGCCTGGAGCTCCATACAGTGCCTGGGGCTCCATACAGTGCCTGGGGCTCCATACAGTGCCTGGGGCTCCATACAGTGGGGCTTCATATACCTTTATACAACCTCAGTCAGTATATGATTCACAGTATCGGGTGCAAGCAACAGTTGAATAAACCCCTGGTACCTTCAACTCTTGTATGATGTATAGTGCCTCATACAGCGGGTGTATGATGTATTCTGTATCTTTAAAATACATGGTGTATATGTGTGTGTATTCAAAGGTGGAGGGCAGACACCCAACTTGGCAGGGTGACTGGTGTGGGTGGAGGGAATGTCATAGGCTAGTAGGAATGAGCCCCACATTAAGTACCATTAATGGGGTATCAGCTCCCATTATTTCGGTGTGGGTAAAATGGCCGCCAAATCCTTAGATTCTCTCCAGCTGTTTACAATATACAGAATTCAGATATTGACATTGGAAAACACATATTTTGATCTCTACTTTTCATTTTAAGGGGTTCAAACGCATGTTTTTTTTTTTTAAGACGACCCGGGAACCGCCGGTTACCCTATTTTGTTATATTATAATCATCAATGGTTGACCTTAAGACAAGAAAATATATATATATATATATATATATATATATATATATATATATATATATATATATATATATATATATATATATATATATATATATATATATATATATATATATATATATATATATATATATATAACTGAAAACTCACACCCCAGAGTTTTCAGTTGTATATAGTCCTGGGGACCATTCAGGCTTGTTTGCATATATATATATATATATATATATATATATATATATATATATATATATATATATATGTGTGTGTGTGTGTGTGTGTGTGTGTGTGTGTGTGTGTGTGTGTGTGTGTGTGTGTGTGTGTGTGTGTGTGTGTGTGTGTGTGTGTGTGTGTGTGTGTGTGTGTGTGTGTGAGTGTGTGTGTGTGTGTGTGTGAGTGTGTGTGTGTGTGTGTGTGAGTGTGTGTGTGTGTGCTTATATATGGATATTAATATATCATATCTCATATTTTTATAATAACAAGCCACATTTTACTACATAAAAAACACAGAAAACATTGCAAACAAAAATGCCTTCTATAAACTATAAGGACGGGAATGTCAACAAACCCGCCTGGCGCTAACATAGGCTCTGATCCTACCAGTGGGGACTCCAAACCCTTATACATTAATCCAATCCCTCCTTTACTGAGAGTATTATGTATGCTCTTTTTTTTTACACTTATACATCAAGGGAGTATTTACCCTTCCAATATTTACCCACCTATTGTAATCTAGTCACAAAGTTGCTTAGTATCGTAAGGAAACACTGTAAATTACGATTATAGGGGCGATAAATGCAAAGCCTTCCCTAGCCTTATTGAGGGCGGGAAGGTCGCATTTGGTATATTTATCTGGTTGTTGAGGACCTTTATTGGCTCAAAGGTTTTGTGCCCTTGTAGCTCTTGACTTGTGTTGCTGAATATATATATATATATTATGTGAATTTTTATTTGTTTTTATTTCAATCCTGGACTATCTTAGGTTACAACATTGGACTGATGCTCAGCCTAATGTTCACAGCCGTAGGAAATGAACAGTGCACAGCATCATGTTCAATGCTTGTTCAATGCCTCATAACAAAACCTCATTATCAGTAAGAATCGCGTTAGAAAACGAGAATTATCTAAACAAAAACTTTTAGAATTTAGAATAAAAAGTTTCTATTTTTTCAGCATAGATACGAGTGTTTTCTCCTATCAATTGAATACATAGATACACATTATGTATCTCATTAATACATCACATGAATACG